GAATGCGTGGCCCTGCTGAGATGCTCCTGCATCTGCTCCAATCCCTCTTAGAGGTGAACATGGCAGAACAACGGTCATTCAAAAGGGATTAGAGAGTGAAATGAGGGCAATTTTAATTACCCAAAAAGAAGGCCCATCTGAACCATCTGATTTTTGACCAATTTTTGAACAGAACACTTAGCATTGAGTAGTCCACAGTATCCCATTTGGGCTTCAATCAAACGGCACATGAGCCTTTTCCCATGCAGAGATCAAGCTGCCAAAGGCAGGACCCCTTGCCGGCACAGCATGGAGGCCGAGGGAGACAGGGCCACAGGAGGGCGGGCAGACTTCCCCGTGGCTACTCAGCCAGCTGCCCTTCCGAGTGCCCACCCTTGCGCCCATGCCATCTGGCTGCTCTACCTGCCACTCACACGGACACCCCACTGCCACCGCTCTGCCCTCCTCCTCCATCTGGACCAGCCCAGTGAAAGCAGAGGTGTGGGGCAGCTCGCTGGCATGGCGGCCATGGGTGGGAAGACCCTCCTCATGGCCTACTAGCCAGCCACCCTTGGGCAACTGCCAAAGGGCAACGTCAAAGGGCACTGCCCATTTGGTGCTCGTTCAGCGGGCACTGCCAACAGGTTTTTTCTCTTCCCCCCTTGCCTTTTCTTTCTGCTATGACAGGAAGCATCAAGGAAGTGATGCAGAAGGAGAAGAGGAGAAGTAACAGAAAATTGTACTGCAGAAAATGTCAAGGGCTCAGGTAAGTTGACAAGGGTAGGAGGCGGCAGGTAAAGATACTGTGAAAGGCTTAGCGTTGTGCACTGGCAACTGGTTGTTAAGTTTCTATCAGGAACCTTGAGGCAGGGAGACAGAATGGAAGGAACAGGAAGAAGGGAGCTGAAGATCAGGAAGAACGGACGAGGAAAAGGAAGGCAAGCGAAGTATCAACAGTCTAGTGGCAGCAGGTTTTCCTTTCCTTGCACACGCACAGGCATGCGTGCAGGCAGCTGGTCCTCATTTCAGCTGCTGGCCATTTTATTTGCTTTACTGGCTCACACGGAGGAAGGTGTGGGTGCCCCTATTACAGTGGTTGCTCTACACTGCATGATTCTCTTCCCACCTTGCTCCAATCCCACCCTTACCCCAAAGCCACAAAGTAGTTGGCCATCTAAAAATGTAAGCTTGTTAATAAACGAAAGAACTCCCAATAAGTTAGAAGTAATGCAATCAGGGTGTGGGGGGCAACATTGATCAATCACTCCCTGCCACTCTTATGATTGTCTTTACCAATTTCAACAAAGGAGCAGAAAAACCTGCAAGACTGAAAGTGATCCCACCTCGAGACCAGATGCTGGCGCACGCCTCCTCGGAAGCCCCGCTCAAAGTTAAGCTGCGATATCACATCCACCCGCGGACAGTGTGAGTGAGTCAGGAGAGATCTGGGAAATCTGCTGACCTCCTATCTTCCCTCAGGTTCAAATGCAGGCCTCTGGCTACTCTCTCCTTCAAACCGCTACGGGCACAAACAGCCCGATGGGTGCCTTGGGGCTCTCCAGCGCCTCTCAGCATCTTGGGCTCTCGCACACACATTTGCTGATGGCAGCAACAAGGCAGTGACAGTTGGTTTACCCAAAAGGCCCAGGCAATTATTAGCTAATTAGCAGTCAAGCATTAAGACAGATAATCCTCATGGGAATTGTACTAAAGAGAAAAGTTCATTTGCTGGATTTTAATCTCACCCTTTCCAGGGAAATTAACATGCAGAGCCACCGAAAACAACAAATGATAGAACACTACAGCTGTAGGAAAACACAAAAGCCCTCCCCTCCTCATGCCAGTTAACGAGTCTACCAATTAATTCCCAAAGTGCGTTCCCTTTTCTTCCAAGGCCCACTTGACTGCAGACTGTCAACATTGGCGAACCAGGCTACTTCAACACACGCGCAAGCTGCTTCCGAGTTCTTACCACCTCTGGCTCTCTGCCCCCTCTGTGTAACTAGCCACAGAACACTTCCTCTGCACTTACTAAAACATGCTTTCCTAAAATCCAAGGCAATTGATTAAAACTGTTAGTTTTGGCACATTAACAAAATGCCATAGGCCTTTAACAAGCTGCAGAATCACATCCCCAGGTGGTGCTGTGGAGAAGGTGTGGTGACAAGGAGAGGGCGTGGAGAGGGCGTGCTTGCCCCAGGTCTCGTGCCATCACTCCTGGTCTCTCGTAGCTCACAGTCCCCTGGAAAAGCAGGGAAATCAGCAACACCCATTTATCTGGGGTGCCTTTTGGCTGCTAATGCACTGAAAGGAAAGAAGAACACTTTTGGCAAACTGGAGAACGGATCTGAAGCCATCAAGACTCTTGTGACCAATGCTTTCCTCTGCAACATCACCACCTAGAGGACGGTGCCTGTGAGAACTTTGTCAAATTGCCCGTCACTCTTTTTGTATGTTGGTCCTCCAGATGCACATCTTGATACGACGAGGGGGTCTGAACATGTCAGCAGCAATGCTGCCAGTCAGAACATGGGATCCTTCACCCAGGGTGGCGTGGATGCGGTGGAGGCACCAGACTGAGGTGCACCATCCCTTGCTGCAGAACTCAGCTTTTCGGGACCTCTGATTTTATTGAGTACAGGTATCTTCTGTTGTCATTCCATGAAAGGAAACCACGGCGGCTAACAGCTCTTCAAATCGGTGAGCGTGCCACAGACACATATCATGAGCTGTGCCGTGTCCATCACACCAGCGCTCGCCAATGGCCGTCAAAATGGATTCTGGGTGTGACAGTGCCTCACACTGCCTGTGCAACCCATTCTTAGGGAGAGGCTGCGCCCGGCGCAGCGCCATCTCATGCGGCAAGGGCACCACCTCAAAGCGCCTGGCTGCTTTTTCACCACGAAGGCTTTGGCCACACTTGGAGCACAGGACGTCACACGCTCACTGCTGGGAAACGGCTCCACGATGCTGCCCAGTTGATGCTGCCACGGCACGTGGCGCCTCGCAAGCAGACACCTGGTCAGAGGCCCGCTGCTTCTTTGGTTCCTTCGCAAGGGCTTCTCTCCCTTCGCCTCTGACATCATGCTACTTCGAGGCCTGATTCGCTGCATGACGACGACTGATACGGCACTGCTGGAGCACAAGGCATGCTTGCATGCGCTCGAGGCTTTGTAACTTGTTGCCTAACTGCACAAAAGCCCAGTGATCCTCAGAACCACAGTTCTCGCCTTGAACGAGCCTCTCTCTCTCTTCCCACTTACGGCACTGGGACAAGTAACAATGAAATGCAGTATTTTTCAAAATGGAAAATAATCTAATTCTAGCACTTATTATTCAGAACTGGAAACTATGCAGTGACCTCATGGCTCAGTATGACAATACTACAGTTTGAGGGCATTGCCGGGGGTCAGACTAGATGGCCCAAGAGGACCCTTCTGACTCTCTCTGTTTCTAATCAGATTTTCTGGAACTTATTACTGTTTCTGGCACTAGGTAATCAATAGATTGTTTTACTTTGCTGCAGAGATCAGGGCAGCTGCTTAATTTTAAGCTGATTTTAGGAGTAACTAAATGAAAAGAAACACTTTTGGGGCCTGTGATCTCTGCAGATGGGGTGGCCCATCCCTTTCTTCCCTGGGTCTCCGAAGCCCCCTCAGATGCCCCCAGCCCCTCCTCCCTTCTTGGAACGGGTGTGCTGAGCCTCTTGAACCCCCTGCAGTCCAGCAGGGCCTGAGCGACCCTGCGAGTGCCTGCAGAACCAGGAGCCCCTTGCAGGCTCCTGCAGGGAGCAACCGAAGGGCAGGCCCTGAAGAGCGGGCTGCTGGCCTTTGCCACAGCAGCACAAGCTGTCCTGGCGCTCTGGCCCCTGCATCTCTGAGCCCTGCTCCAGTTTGCTCCGGCCTTGTTCCAGCCCTGCTCCAGTTGTCCCTGCTTTACTCCAGTGTACCCCACTCTGCTCTTGCCTGCTTCAGTCGCTCCTGCCTTGCTCCGGTTTGCTCCTGTGTGCCCTAGCCCGCTCCAGCTCTGCTCCTGTGTGTTCTTGCTTGCTCCAGTTCCTCCTGCCCTGCACCAGACGCCTCTTGCCTGGACCACTTCATGCAACGGCTTCCCTGGCATCGGACCACCGGACTGTCTCTCTCTCCCCTGTATAATGTGGGACTGCCTGCTCCCTTGGCCCTGGCCCTGGCCTGCTGACCAGGCCACCAGCCTCTAGTCCTACTAACCTGGCTTCACGCAAGCATCCTGGTTCTGGTGTTCTGCCTGTCCCAGCTGCCGCCCACGTCCCGACCCTTACACCGTGTCACTGGCCACGTTGGCCCTGACGAGAGGGCATTGCGGGAGTGGCACCAGGCTTGCGGGAGAGGGAGGGCTCTTTCCCCTTCACAGAATGGGCTGTTCCCTGCCGCCCCCACAGTCCAGTCCCAGCTCTGCCCAGGCCCTCCGCACCCCAGGCGAATGCATACAGCACACACCAGTCCGGGGCCCACCGCCCTGCCCCTCCCGGCAGTTCCGGCTCCAGGCACTGGTGCATTTCTGCCCCTCCAGGGCACTGCACCAGTACCCCCCACCTCACTGCATGTGGCCCCACTCAGCCCCTGTCCAGCCCCTCTGGGAGATGAAAGCTAGGGCCTCTTGTTCCAACTCACAGAGCCTTCGCTGAGCCCGCACCCTGGGCCAGCGCTTGTTTGTGAGCCCCCTGGCGTGCCCTTGCCCACAGCCAGCCCCGGCCTGTTGCCACTGCAGTGGTGCTGGGACCTGGACTGGGAACAGCGGGCTCCAAGGGGCAAGAGGGCCACAGAGCAAGGCCTCGGGGGCTGCATGTGTCTGTGGGTCGCGTGCTCCCCCCACCCCCCGCACTAGGCTATTTCAACAGCCCACAGACCAGAAAGACAACAGAGCGTGACTCTCAGCCACCACGACACCGTCAGAGCGGCCAGGAAGCATGGCGCCTCTCACTGGAAATGGGACACCGCGGCACCAGAGCACGCGCTGAACGGACTGCACTGCACCTCGCCTACCTTGGCTGGCGAAATGCGAGAGTGGGAGACAAATCCGTGGATGCTTTCAATCTGGGAGAGGTTCTTCTCAGACACATGCACGAGCTCTGGAGCCACCGCCTCCCCGGGAGCCTGTGGGGAGCTGCTGGGCTCCAGCGAAGGGGTATCGTCGTCGTCGTCGTCGTCCTGAGAGCGGTATTTCTGAAAGGGACCAGAGACAGACGGTTCTTACAAGACAGCCCTCGGCACGTGGTAGCCGATCCTCCCACGCAACAGGGGACAGCGAGGGCAGTGACTAATATGGTGCCCAGCAAGCCAGGCAGCCTGGTCCCGTTAGTCCTCGTGACAAGATGGCCTCCAAGAGCAGTGGTGGCCTGAGGCTTGCTCCTCCTCCCTATTCCTGCACATTTCTGAGTCCAGCCAGAGTGGAGTGCAGAGTCCTCCTGGACATCTCTCGATCTCCACCCTGCTTATGCCCCTCCTTCTGCACTGTCCCAGAGGTGACACCGTGCCTGCAGGCACCCCTCCCCTTGCTCCATCACCTGGACCTCAAGGCCTGTGTGGTCTCTGAGCAACCAGCTTCACCTCTCCAGGGGGAGGGACCTCTATACCTGACAGATTGCTCAACTCCTGGTGCGCACCCTGGCCGGCTCCCGAGTCCTCCCCATTCTCCCACTGGCAGACTGGGGCCGCCGTCAGCCCCAGCTGCCCACCCCACCTCTGGCTGTGCTACCTCCCACAGCCACTCCCACAGGCTGGCCGGCTGCCCATCACTGCCACCCAGCAAAGCAGCCGCATTTCGCTGGGCTGGCTGCACTAGCACAATGAGGAGGGTCCCTCATGAAGGAAAACAGAGGGGAGGAAATGTGGCTGTTTCCTCTCCCAGCAGCCTGAAGCAAAGATCTGGAACTGGGCAGCAGGGAGAGACTCGTTATGAGGCTAAAAGGATTTTTTTTTCACATGCTACAAGAGGGATTGTCAGCTGTAAAAAGGAAATATACTTTTTCCGCCTCCACGCTCACGAGAACACACATCCTTAGAACAATATACTGATCAGAAGTAAATTACTCAGTATTCTTAAAGCAAAAATGGATTGTGGAGGACTCCCCCAGTCTGACAGAACGGGCATTAAAACGGGATAATGTAAGCCAGTGAAAAGTTCCTGTTACAGTGGCCACCAATGTGCATGTCTCTACAAGGGGACTGCACAATGTGATGGCCACTAGGCCTGCTGGCTGCATGCTACCTCCAGTACCACAGACGGATGGGCTGACCAACTCCTCCTGAACGGATCCCTGCACCCACTGGAGAATCAGATGCTGACTCAGAACAGCAGGTGGCCAGAAAACTGGAAAGGTCAGAAGGCTCAGAGGTAATAGCGAATCAGTCTCAAACTGTGGGAAATCCAGTGCGAGAGCTGATATGGGAGGGAGCACCCAACTTCCTGAGTCCAATCACTAGCAGGGCATCAGGTTAAAGAGGTCCAGCCAGCTGCTGAGAGCTGTCAAAAGCCAAGCGCCTGGCCCAGAAGCTGCAGGATTCACTCTGAAAGCTGGGTGAACGCTTTTCAGTTCGAGCAAGGGGAGAGAGTGCACCAGCTTAGACTCAAAGTCCATTCATTAAGCCACATTTCCTTAAAGGTCAATATTCTAACTTAACTTGTTACTTCTGTCAAAGGTCACTGCAATACATTTTTATTACAAAACCAGCCTAGACGGTCCACGTTAATATAATAACTTTTAAATATATATATTTATTATTATATTTATATGACACCAAATAGTCCAATGGCCTCTCTACATGGCATACAACAATCAAAAGACCAAAATATAGCAATTTTAAATTTACAAGATATGGGAGAAGGTGGTCCTTCAGGAAGCCAGGTCCTAAGCCATTTATTTATTGTTTTGTTTTGTTTTGTTTTGTTTTGTTTTGTTTTATTTTATTTTATTTTGGGGACTTCTATGCCGCCCCATTCGCCGAAGCCTCGGGGCGGCTCACAACCATAAATAAATAGAATCCAATAAAGCAATATAAATTAACAATATAAATTAAGTTGCCCTGGCCAAAGAATAAAATAAATAATATCAACAATTAAAATAACGTTTGAATAAAAAGGTCTTCGTCTGGCGCCGAAAAACAAATAACGATGGTGCCAGGCGGACCTCTCTGGGGAGCGCATTCCATAGATTGGGCGCCACCACAGAGAAAGCCCTCCTCCGAGTACTTACCCTCCTAATTTCCTTCACGGAGGGTTCCCGGAGAAGGGCCTCTCCCGCAGATTTCAAGGGGCGGGTGGTCGGGCATATATGGACGTAAGCGTTTAGGACTTTACATGTTAAAAGGACTTTACATGTTAAAAGGACTTTACATGTTAAACGTTACATTTACATTTTAGGACTTTACATTTAGGACTTTACATGTTAAAAGAAGCACTTTAAATTGGGCCTAGGCTTCAACTGGTACCCAATACAGGATCAATCTTATATGGGGCCACATGCTGGCACCAGATTCCAATTGTATGGCCCTATTCTGAATCAGCTGAAGTCTCCAGTCCATCTTTAAAGGCAGCCCCATGCAGAGTGCGTTACAGGGCTCTAACCCGGCTGTTACCAGTGCGTGAGAAACTGCGGCCAGGCTCCGTCTGCTCAGGAGGGGTGAAGCTGGCACATTCACCACAGCTGAAGGAGGTGCTCCTGGCCGCCAAGCCCACTTGGGCCTCTAATGGTAGCCGTGGATCCATGAGCACCCCAAGCTGCACATCCTGTCCATTGCGGGGAGTGCAACCCCATCCAGGACAAGCTGAAGGCCGTCCGACCCAGAAGGGACACCACCTACCACAAGTACCTCCCTCTTGTTTGGACGGAGGTCCAGTTTGCTGGCCCTCATGCAGTCCTTTCTGAGCCCAGACGCCGATTTGGGACAGAGACGGCCTCACTTGGATTGTATGTGTGAGAGAGGCAGAGCCGAGTCCCATCCGCACATTGCTGACACCTCAGCTCAAGCGTCCGGATGACCTCTCCCAGCGGTTTCCTGTAGATGTTGAATCTACATGGAGGACAGTATGGGGGACAGCCCTGTGGAACCCCACGCGGTAAACGCCCTGCGGCAGAGCAGCTGCCCCACAGCACCGCCTGCTGGACATGGTCCGCCATAAAGGAGGGGAACCACTGCAAGTCAGTGCCCCCAACTCCCAGTCCAGCCAACCTGCTCAGGACACCATGGTCGATGGCGTTGGCTGAAAGTCACGGAGAGGTCCAGGAGCGTAAACAGGAACCAAGACCCCGTCTCTCTCTCCCCCAGCAAAGATCATCATCATGACAATCAAACTAGTCTCCATCCCAAGCCCCAGCTGAAACGGACCCAGAAAATCTGCTTCATCCAGGAGTGCCTGGAGTTGCCCAGCCGCCACCTGCCCCAACACCTTGCCCAGGACAGGGAAGGTCGGCACCGGATGCCACTCGGGAACTATCCCAGGGCCAGGCTCAACTTTTTCGGGAGTGGTCTTGTAACAGCCTCCTTCCTGGAAGAGAGGACCACTCCTCCCAAGGAGGCATTGGCAGGGAAAAGCACTTGAGTGGGAAGCATTTCTATGGGTCTGTTGGAGGGAAGATGGCCCATGGCCTGGCCATATGCCTGTGCACAATAGCCATGGGGAACATGGGCAGGAGGGTGCTGCTGCATGTCGTCCTGCTTTCGGCTTTCCTGTGCACATCTACTTAAGCCACTGTGTGAACAGAATTGTGGACTAGATGGGTGTTGGCCTGATCCGGCACAGCTCTTCTCATGAGGGTAGGGAAAGGCAGGGAAGGGGAAGTCTTTATATCCTCAGCCACCACCAGCCCTTGTAAGTTTTTGGAGGAAAGTGCTACTGGAACCCTGTTCCAGGGAAGCTACAGGGGTGCACTGTGCTGGTGGTGGTGCTGGAGACGCCCCCGTTTGGATCCTGTTCCCAAGGTGAGGTAGCGCCAATGAACCCAGAGTTGGGCGGGGGGAGTCCCATCCCTGAAAACTAAGGAGGCCACCAGGTAGTGCGCCCTGTGTGCTCCCTGCCAGTGAGCAGAGTCAGGCTGGCCGAGCATCCAGTGAGGGACGCCATGGCGCGCCTGGCCATTCAGGCTCCAAGAGTGCCGGGGCTCATGGCAAGTCCACCACAGGCTGGAAAGCTCCCCCCGCCGCCCAGAGTCTCTGCAGGGCCCCAGCCAGTGCAAGCGCACCCTGCGTGCGCTGCAAAGGGAGGGACTGGCCCAGCGCTCCCGCCGGCCCGCCTCGGTGCTGATGTCCCGCTACTTACTCGGGAGGGCAGAGCTCAGCTCCTGCTCTCAAGGAAAGCAGTCAGAGGCTGTGGGATCCAAGGTGCCGGGCAGGGGCTTCCAGACACAGCCCCACATACAAGCAGCAGGGACACTGGGCGTCACGCTGCCCCCACACAGGAGGTGCCCGGCCTCCAAGCCCAGCCCAGGCCCTCTGCTCTCTTCCACTTCTCCTCTCTGAAACACTGGAGGCGCCCTCTTCTTGGGGGGGGGGGGCAGCCGGCCTTGCCAAAGGCCCATCCAGCGCTCCCTCTCATTTGCAAATGAGGCTCCTGCAGGATCTGCCTTGCTCTTCCCACACCACTCCCACAGCACTCCAGTTCTCCTTTTATCTTCTGCCTGCGGCATGGCCACTTTCAGCGAGTGAGCAGGAGGTGGAAACGGCCATGTTCCAGTTCAGAATCTGCTCCCTGCTTCTTTGCTCGAAGCATTACATGGGTGTTTCATTTTTTTCCAGCACTGTAAAAGCCGAGATTCTGCCCCAAACTTACATGGTACAATGCACAAGGAGACTGGTGCTTTGCCTTTTGTTCCCAGCCATGCGGATTCCAGCTGCCTGCCCGCCCGGGGCTCAGAGCTCTCTGCACAGATGCTCTCCTGCTTGCGCTGTGCAAACAGAGGCCTCCCAGCCCCAACTTTCACCAGTCTATTTTAGCAGGATGGGTAGACGGCAGCTGGCAACCCTTCCACTTCTTGTCCACCAGCAGCCCAGGCCGATGGAAAACGGGACAGTTATTCTGAGCACAAAAGATGCCCGGGAGGGGGGGGAGGGGGAGAACAAAGGTCACAGGAATGGTTGCAGTTCTGTAGCCAAGAGGTGTTGCTACATATGACTTTTTCTTCATTTCAGTATTTAAACATTTGAAATTCTAAGCATGCAATAGGGACTCCGATGCACAGGGACTATTACTGGAACTTGCAAGACAACGGCTGAATCCAGGACCCAAAGGAAAGCCGGTGGGCCAGTCCCGGTTTCATCAGAGCAGCTAAGAGGAGCTGAAGTCCCTCACGCTCGCTCTCTGCTACGAGGAGGAGGATGCCAAAGGAGCTGTTGCAGGGCGCGCAGGGGGAGAGCGGCGCACGTCGCTTGGGTCGTGCGGTGACGGGGGACAGACTGTGCACGCATCCCACAGAGCAGGCGCACGGAGACAGGCCCGTCTCTGGCGCCCCCCACAGGGGCGGGGCAGGCCAGGCTCTCCCAACAGCAGTGCCACGACGGCATCCCAGGGCACAGGCTGGCCGTGTCCCAAGGTGAGCTCTCTGTGTTTTGCAGATCGTCAGCTTGCCTTGTTCCATCACCTGCACCGATCAGATTAAGAAGGGGGTTTGCAACTGTACTCCTAATTGCACTAACAGTAGTTCAAGTGTGCACTTGTACAAATCCCCTCTCCAGTGAGAAACTGCTCTGCAAGTTCACGGAATCCAAGCATCTCAGGAAAAGATGCTCCACTGCAGAATCCACATGCCAGCTACACAGACCGGAATTCATGTGTGCCTGTTGTCCAACGCGCCTAGTTCCAAGGCCAGTGGCAGCAAACACCTGGGGAAACTTGGGATCACGCCTACAATCGTTGCTGGCAGCTCCGTTGTGCACCTGGCCACATGCCCCCTTCGGAGGACTGTGTGTACACGCTTACGGAGAAACTGATCCTGGCACACATGCAGGCCTGAGCAGGGCCCCCGCCAAGTTCCGCCCGCGCCACTTCCGGGAAGCACCACGGGAGTTCAGCGTGTGCCCTTCCTGTCACTGCAGGAGTTGGGGGAGAGAACGACCCCTGAGCCTGCCAGGCGGGGGGCTGCTGTGCTCCACCCAGAGCTGTCTGTCTGCGGCCGCTTGCCTGCACTCTGCTCGGAACACGCACCCGCAGCACAGCATGTGCGGCAACAGGGGTCCACCTGGCAATCGCTCTGACAGACCGGCGCCGGCACCACCGCCCCAGCCACTGAGCCAGGACCCTGCTCAGCCCTGCGTGCTCACAGTGGTCGGGGCTGAGACGTGAGCAGCTGGCAGCGAACGCGAGCACGCACGCCCACGGGGAAGCCTCTCTCTCAGAAGACTCCTTATTTCTGTTTTCTTTGCGAAGCACATAAGAGAGGTGACTGGGAAGCAGCAACTGGAACTCTAAAAGGCACTTTCGACATGCATGGGGAAGATGGGCATACTGATTCCTACAAAGCCTTCACACAAGCTTTGTGCCAGATGTCTCCCAGTGACAACCCACATGGTTTCCTTCCAGCAATTACTTTCCAACTACAACATTCTGATTACGTGTCAGTCCCTGAAATTCTGTGGGCCAGCTAAACTTCCCTAAAGGCAACTGCTCACCGTTTTCTCTCCAAAAGGAGAGCCAGGCTGGTGCAGCGGTTAAGAGCACAGGACTGGGAGCCGGGTAATGCGGGTTCTGGTCACCACTCAGCCATGGAGCCAACAGGGTCACTTTGGGCCAGTCACTCTCAGCCCAACCTACCTCACGTGGTGATGGTGGTTGTTGTGGGGATGAGACTGAGAGCAGGAGGAGGAGAATGATGTAAGACACTTTGAGTTCTTTGTAAAAAAACAATGGGATAAAAATATAATACATTACTAAATGAAATAACTGCAGTAACTCACACCCACAAGCAAAGAGGTTGCAATAAGAGAACCTATTTCACTTCTTCAAACTGTGTGGAAGAAGGAGGCTGATTCAGCGAACTCCGAGGCGAGGGCTGCCTTAAAGCTCGCACAGCCCCGCTGTTACCCCACCCCCGTTAATGCAGCTCACAAAGCCTTTCCTGGGCTTCACCCCCAAGGAGGGGACACCAGGAGGCACACACGAGAGGCTTCCGCAGCAGCAGGACCACTTGCAGTCCCAAAACACCCCGTGATAATCAGCATGGCAATCAATAGGCATTCTTTGTCGCATGCCCTTTCCCTACAGCTCCAGGGGCTCCAGGGGCTCAGTTAACAGAAGAGCAGCGTCCAGACCCCAGTGGGAGGCCCACGCGGAGCTCCAGCAGCCCGGCCAGGGGGCTCCCCTGCATCGCCTACTAGCTGCTCCTGGGCGGAGGGGGAGGGATCCTCCGTCCACTGCGCCAGTCACGCTGACCGTGTATCAGTCCCTGGCTGCCCGTCAGTCCCCACACGTCATCTAAAGCACATGACCTAATGCAAACGGCACGGCTTTTTGTTGCTACAGATCCCACTAATCCGGCAATGCCACTAACTTACTCAGAAGCGACCGAGGTTTCCAGAAAGCCCTTCCGGACCCACCTTACATCCAAACACTAAGGAGACGCTGCTGTTGCTGCAGGCTACTTTACAGTGGCACAGCATTGGAGAAAAGCAGTCCAAGTTTTTTATGCTCGGAGACATCTTTTCAGACCCAGGAGGACCCAGCCATCAGTCAGCAGTCGAATTTCATGAAAAATGTTTTTGGAAACAGGTCTGCCCACCTCAGACATTTCAATCCAAGGCCGTGCTGCTCTTAAGAGAAAATGGTTACAGAAAAACAAGACCAAATTCTCTCTGATATTACAAATCCAGACGACTTACAGAATACAACCAAATCAACTGATGTGTCCATTTTCAAGATGCCGGCTCCCTCCTTACTGAGGCTGACTGTATCAGCACGAATATGCCCTGGCTCCTTTCTGGAATCCTTTCAGCCAAAAATCTTCCAGGATGGGGGCAGAAGGGGAACACCTGAAGGCAGCTGCCCCTGCTGCGGAGTAAGTTCAGCTGCCTTCTCCATACGGACAGAAGCCGCTCAGCTGACCAAGCCACTCGATGCTCCGTCAAAGCCAGATGACGAGGGGAGGGGCGACACGCTGCAGCCATGGCCCACAGCCTTCCACAGTGCACACAGAAGAGAGGCGCATCCATGTGTGCGTCCGCACATGCACCAGCCGACTCAAACCTCCTCCCGCAAGAGGAGCTCGCCCTGTACCAAGATGCAGGTCCCAGTGTGATCTTGAGGATCACACCGAGGCACAAAATGCCGTGTGCTGCCTACGCTCTGCTCCTGCCTGTTCCTTTGACTTCCTGGAAAGCAAGGGAAGGACGGGCACAGGAGGCAGCCAGCCAACGCCGGGGACATGCTGGAAATGTGCCTTAGGCCCAGCCTGCTCCATCAAGTCCTGCCGGAGATATTACCAAACAAGGGTATCAGGGCGCTCCTTTCCCAAATACTCTGCAGGGCACCAGCAACAGTAGGGCAACCACCTCAGATGGAACATGAGCAGCAGCAAATATATGTTTCGCTCAGATGGCTTTAACCAACAGCCACCACAAAATTCCCAAATATTTACTCCAAAATGATTTCATAATTCCATCATAAAATTCAAAGTTCACAGATACAAACTTTAGAAAGTTTATTTTCAATGAAAAAGCAACAACACAAACAAACCCCCACTAAGGTATTCTAACCTGCCCTTCCAGGACCCTTAAACTAAAAGCCCCTCTATTAGCAAGCATCATCTGGACGAACAGTCATCACACTGGGCCATTCCCTCTGCATGCGCAGAACGGCATGCTGGGTTCCTGAGAAGCACCAGTACGTGCCCAGCTTCTCCTGCCCTCCAGCCACTTTACAAGGAACTCGAACTATGCAGGTAACTCACATGGTGGGTCCCAAGGTCTCCACCTCAAACCGAGCACGTAAACACAGGTGCACTTTCAGGGAATCCTCTCCGTCGTCTCAGCGTCGCAGCTCAAGGGACACCACCTACTCTCGCTAGAGTGATTCTGGAGCTTGAAGCATCTACTGCGTGCACAGCAGGGGCGTGCCTGTCGCCAAATCATGCGGACAGAGGAGACGTTTCAGGCAACAACACCCAGGCACTGGCTCTTCTGACCCAAAGAACTGGGCATGTTCAGACTGAGGGGGGACATGATATCCCTCTATAAGTACCTGAAAGGCTGTCACAAAGAGGAAGGCCAAGATCTCTTCTCACTGATAACAGACCGTGGGACATGGAACGATCAATTTAAGTTGCAACAACCCAGATTCAGGCTAGATATCAGCAAGTTTCTTCACCGTCAGAACAATCTGACAGTGGAACCCGCTGTCCAGAGGCCGTGGGCCTTCCCACAGTGGAAACACTCAAGGTGAAACTGGGAACAATTTTAAACCCTTTCCAGTCATCTGGCACTTCTTGTGTTTTTCAGGATTTATCAAAGAAATAAAGCTGTGGTTCTGAGAGCGCCACCGCTAGCTCTTTCCTCCTGTATGGCCCAGCCCTGCTTCCACCTCCTGCATATGCTCTTTTTTTCTTTCAGGTTGTCAGTTTGGAAAGTGTTCATTCACTAGGTCACCATAAGTCAGAAACAATTTGACAGCACATAACAACAACATTGATCATTTGCTCTTGTTTGTATTTTTATATTGTATTCTTATTTATTGTTAATGTGCTGCTATAAGCCACTGAGAGATTTGACTTTTAGGATGTATACAAATAAAAACTAACAACAGACTGAAATGATTATTTCCCTAATCAACAGACCACACATCCCTCTAATTTCCAGAGTGCTGGAAAGTCAGCAAGCTGAAGGGAAAACACAGGAATCCTTCACGGTTGTAAATGCCTCCCCAGAGATCATCAAGCAAGGCCCACACGGCCACCATTGCTGCAAGTCATGACCCTACATTCCATGCACAAACGCACGCGGGCTTCGGGGCTAGCGGCTGCCGGGGTGAATGTGAGCCCCGACTCTGTCCCCTGGTCCAAGGGGGTGGGGGTGCAGGCTGGACGCTCCTGCCCCGGCTGAGCCTCGCGGCCCTGCGGGAGAGCAGAGGCTCGCCGGCCGTTCCTGCAGGCCTGCTCCGGAGCACCGTGAGGAGGATGTGCCGCCAGCGAGCAGCAGAGGGCAGCCTTCTCCGCTGCTCCAGAGCACACAGAAGGAGAACAGCCCTGGGCAGCGATGCTTTAGTTAAAGGCTTTCTGTGCTACTCTTCCTAGCCTGTGCTACTAAGGGAAAGGGTTTTTTTAACTGTACAGGAGATTACTGTTAGGTAGAAAATGCTCATTAAATGAAGTGCTGTTAGGCAGGTGTTGCTGTTCTGCGTGGCCTCGGGAAAGACCAACGCGCACTGGCAGAAGCTCCTGTGGCACAAAGGGAGGCGGCACTCAGCCGGGGCAAAGGCCTTCCAGGTGCGGCACGTGCCTCGCTTGGGGCACTTATGGCTGGGGTAACAAAATGACACCAAATGTGACTAATGCCAGTTTTCCCGTCCTGGGAGAAGGCTAGTTTGCATTCTGAAATTTTGTGAGCTGCCCTGAGAATTTCACTGATAGGTAGGCCATACAACCCTAAAAATAAATAAAATACCGTAAAAATCTTGACTCTGTCCTAGTTGCTCGCACATCTTGAAGCACATTTCTAAACCACAGAGCTTTACATACTGTGCACATTAAAGCTGAAAGCTCATGCATTTGCTAGCAACACTCTGGCAAAGCTCAGAAAAGTCACTGACAAGGCAGAATTCAATAGGCTGCAGTTCCAGGAGCCATCCTGGGGCCCCAGACAGCACACAAGGAAGCCCGGGGTCTTTGGAGCCCCGAGTGCAAGGCAGGAGACTGCGATTCGTCACCCTCCTCACACAGCCCAGCCCACGCAGAAAGAACCACGCCGGATGCCTCTCCAAACCCAGGAAAATCGATGTGGAGATGCAGCAGGAGGGAAGATGGCAGGAGAGGCCCAGATCCAAGTTGCACTTGAGCCTCTCTCCTCCCCGAAACGCCTCCACTGTCCGGCCAAAGCAGCCGTCCAGCAAAAATCAGTGGAGCAAGACGGCCTCTTCCACGCAACTCCAATCCGCACCAAGGGCCCCCTGCAGCCCCCCAGAGGAGAGCTGGATCACCTGAGGGGTCTCCAGGGAAAAGGGGGGGGGCTCAATGCTGCTAGTGGATGACTCACAATGGATTCAATCCACGCATCCATTATTTTCCAGAGAGGAAGAGACTGGAACACTGAAGAAGCTGAGAAGGACCAAAGCAATGATGTGCTTTTTCAGAGAGGTTTCAGATTAAACCAAGAAAAAATGTATTTTATCTCCGAAGTTTGTTGATCCCACTGCTGAACAAAGCAGCTGCTTATGCAAACCTTCCATTTCCTTTTCCCTTGAATGTCACGTCTTTTTATTGGCTGCATGTAAGCCACTTGGAGAGCTTTTCTGGTGAGAAGCAGGATAAAAACACTTCAAATACACAAAGGAGATGAGCAGTCCTCCCCACCACCGCCACCAGAGCACTGTCCTCCACCCTACCAGCACCAGGCCAAGCGCACTATCTGTCACATGCAGCAGAAACACAGTGTGGCCCCATGGTTGTCACGGTAGTCATGAAATCCTGGACGGACCAAACCAAGGCAGGCCTGGCATGAAAGTGGAAGGCTGCCGAAACGGAGGCCACCTCCGCCAGCATAATCAGGGAGGCAGCCGGGCAGCAGAGCGGGCAGCAAGGAGAACCGAGAGCTCTTCCTGAGCAATTCGCTCACCGCTCTCCATCTGCCAGGCTCAGACAACCAAACAACCTCCTGTGGGATCAACCACTCCTATGACAACCTGTGATTGACAGGGTGGCCTGCTGCTCAAAAACAACCCAGCTAGTTGCCCATGATGGGTTGCTGTATTCATGCGAACCCAGTCGTTGACTGTCTGTCTGCAACAACTTCAGAGGCATCATCATCTGCCGGTACTTTAAGCAACAGTGGTACAACTAAGACACCCACAACAAGAAAAAGATTGCAACCACCCAGTTAAACCACTACCACGAAAATGTTTGTAGAGAGCAACAACAAATACTAGCAAGACTGCTCAGTTCACTTAGTTCACTGCTCAGTGAGAGCCAGTGTGGCGTAGTGGTTAAAAGCATGGGACTGGGACTCAGACAATCTGGGTTGTAGTCCCCACTCAGCCATGGAGCCAACTGGGTGGCTTTGGGCCAATCACAGACTCTCAGCCCAGCCTACCTCACAGGGCTGTTGTTGTGGGGATAAGATGGAGGAGGAGAATGATGTAAGCTGCCTTGAGCCCTTTGCAGGAAAAAGGCAGGATATAAATCGCAATATAAATAAATAAAATAAATAAAATTTATGCCACAAATTCTCCCTTTCACATTGCTAACAGTAAGTGGGGTGCCGCAGGGTCCTGTCCTGGGCCCAGTGCTCTTCACCAACTTTATTAATGATTTAGGGGAGGAAATACAAGGAACAATAATCAAGTCTGCAGATGATACAAAGCTGGGTGGAATAGTGAATAACCTAGAACAGTGATGACGAACTTTTAGAGACTGAGTGCCCAAACTGCAAACCAAAACCCACTTATTTATCACAAAGTGCCAACACAACAATAAAACCTGAAAATGTTATCCAGGACGCTGTTATCCGAAGCTCGGCTGCTGGAGCGATGCTGGGGTGACTAGGCTTGCATGCTGACAGAGAGGGCTCTCAGCGCCCACTGTGGCGTGCGTGCCATAGGTTCGCCACCACTGCCGTGACCTAGTGCACTCCCCTAACCCTAACAGAGGGGTA